TTTTTTTAAGCGTCACAATACTTTTTTGTAAAAAGTAAAATTCCTGCCCTTTCTCATCTATCCCGCTTAAGAGGGGGATGCCTCCTATTGTAAACAATAGAGATGGTCCTGGGGGACACATTGGTGATGATTTCATTTGTAGGAGGCGTGGGAGTCGGGAGTTATGGGAGGTCAAAGATCAGGACATTCAAAATTTGTGAATGAAGCATTGATCTTTTTTTTCAACATAATAAGCAACCTTTCTTACAACTTTTTCACAACCCCCCCCCCCCTTTTTTTTTTTTCTTTTTGAGAAGGGGAAATACCTTACGCAAACCGGGCATGTAATGCTAAGCCCGGTAGTGTGGGACTCCCAGGATAACCCGGTATGCCCACTAAATCCCAACCTCTTATCATGTCCCTACTCGATTTCTCGAACGGGATATACAATCTTTACATCTTTCCACAATTATTCACAAGGATAATTGTGTTAGGTTACGGTATAATCTATGGGGAGGAGGTGCAGGGGGAGGGGCGAAGTTCCTCCCCCGCCCACGCGTTTGGATCTTCAACTTCCTCAAAGGTAGTATTTACTTATGAAAAATACGTTTAATCGCCTCATATCTATTTTGTAAACGTCAACACCGTTTCGAAATTGTTATCATAACAGAAATTGATTTGAATTTGAAGGAGTAAGCATTTCATTGTTTGGTAATGTAGGAAGCCGGCGCTAACGGATAGGGAGAGCTCACGAGAGCGATTACGGTTTATAATAACGCGAACCACGAAACGATACACGAACTTTACGAATTGTCGACTTACAGATTTTGACTCACGGCTTACGATTTACGGAATACGATTACGATAACGACGACGATTACGGCTTTGCACACGGACACGACACGGGAAATGATTTAGATTACGATTACGATACTTGTTTCTTTTTTTTTATTGTAATGTGCTTTGTGTTTTTTGTGTTTTCGCCATGAACCTGCTCAAGCTTACCACTGGCATTATTAAAGACAGGAACACTTGTCTACAGTGGCTTAGGGATAATGAAATAATTCCCGAAATAGAGCAATCGTGCCCAAGATGTCCGAGAACAGTAAAAATGGAATTTGAAGCATCTCACGGTACATTCGGACCGCAGTCGGAATGCTTATCCTAACGTATGCTTTTGCGAATAAAATGAGCCAGAATAGTGCTATAAGGGAGTCATCAATTACTGATGTGGCCACTTCGTCAGCTACAGTTACCGACTGGCATAGCTACTGCCGTGAGGTGTGCATGAGAGCACTGGACGAGCGTTACGAAGCAGAAGAACAAATCGGAGGACCAGGGCATATTGTACAGATCGACGAAACAAAAGTAGGGAGAAGGAAGTACAATATAGGTCGATTGCGTGAAGGTAACTGGGTATTGGGTATGATAGATGAGAAAGGTTCCTATCGTCTGGAGATATGTAAAGAGAATAAACGAGATAGGGAGACCCTCTTCCTCCTCATCGTGAAACATGTGGCCCCCGGATCTGAAATTCATACTGATGAGTGGGCAGCATACAAAGATCTGCCCAATACACCGAACATGAATTATATACTCAAGACCGTAAATCACAGCACTCAAGGTGAGGGAAGATTTGTCAATCCTGCGACCGGAGCCCACACCCAAGCGATTGAAGGCAGCTGGAAGCACTTAAAACATGACCTCATTAACAGAGGGTACAAGCAGGACGATTTGGCAATGCATTTGTGCACCTATCTGTGGCATAGAGATGTGCGACAGAGGAAATTAGATCCATTCGAACAATTATGGAAAGATATAAAAACTGTATATCCCGTTCGAGAATTCGAATAGGGACATGATAAGAGGTTGGGTTTTAGTGGGTATACCGGGTTATCCTGGGAGTCCCACACTACCGGGCTTAGCATTACATGCCCGGTGTGCGTAAGGCATTTCCCCCTCTCAAAAAAAAAAAAGGGGGGGGGGGGTTGTGAAAAAGTTGAAAGAAAGATTGCTTATTATGTTGAAAAAAAAATCAACGCTTCATTCACAAATTTTGAATGTCCTGATCTTTGACCTTCCATAACTCCCGACTCCCACGCCTCCTACAAATGAAATCACCACCAATGTGTCCCCCAGGACCCTCTCTTTATTTACAATAGGAGGCACCCCCCTCTTAAGCGGGACAGATGAGAAAGGGCTGGAAATTTACTTTTTACAAAAAAGTATTGTGACGCTTAAAAAAAATTTCTGGCACTTATGGTCTACATATATGAACACCTTGTGTGATAAGCTACAAAAAAATATGTGACGTCATCAGGGGGCGTATCCCATATTCTAAACTGCAACCCGTACTTGAACGAGATGCGTGTACAGAGAGCAACACGATCATGGAGAGAATCGATCATGGCGTCGATCGTACCGGTTCCGCGTGGAGAGGGGACCGCGTGGACAAAGTGAACAACGAAATACTTTCGTTGGCAACTTCGTGGGCTGACACATTTGGGGAATTCCGCCAACAAGACCAATCAGAAAAAGTATTAAAACATTTAGAAACGATCTTGTTCAAAGAAGACTTATGGAGGAAAGATAGAAAAGGAACTTCAATTACTATGAATTAGTTTTATTTTGCCATATCCAAATATAACCTAAAATCTTACAAAACGGTGTGACGTGAAATGTTATCACGTGATTATGTTTAGAGTGTTATGGCGACACTGCCATGGGAATACTTATCGATAGTCTGTTGTATCGATATTTCTTAAATGTTCGTCGAGGACCTTTTGTATCGACGGTCATAAATTAAGAGCGAAATTCAAACATCATCTGTGCGTACACTTATATAAATAGACAAAGACTACATTGTGAACCCTCGACGTGGGTGATCGAGCTGAGAGAAGGCCGAAAATCCAGAGAATGGAATAGTTTCACTTTGAAAATTCTTAAAAGACTAATTTATGATAGACCATAGCCAATTCGTTGTTTTCGACCAAGTCACGAACGGTCCTTAAAAGTTACGATGTCTTTTTCGATATCCTGTCTATTCATGCACTCTAAGAGGGTCGTAAATTTCCTCAAGAGTTGCTTTGGCAAGTACAAGGTCTTGTCGTTTCCTAATTTCTCTGTTGCACATGTGCGCTGCAACGTTCTAGCGTCTTGGCGGAGCGCCTCCACTTCCACGCGCTTGAGGGTGGACCACAGCCACGAGAAGGAGCCTACGCAGGACGGAGTGGACTCCTCCACCATTGGACGAGGGATGATCCTGAGGGAGGATCCAGAATCCGCCAAGGAAGGGGCATCGACCGACAACGCGCGAAGATCTCCTCCGCCAAGCGCAGAATCGTCAGATTGAATTTGTCACTCGATTTAGACAAGTCCTTCTCACGCGCTAAATTTATCGCATTGTAAAACCAAGTTAGTCAGCCTAAATAAAACTTTAAAATATTAAAGTACACTAAACGATAATAATAGTTTGTTATTTTCACATCTGCGCCTTTCAAGCGGAGCGTCTCCGCGCTCTACGAATTGTCACACCTGCGCCTTAATTCCCCAAATTTCCCTATCTTCCGCGAACGGACACGCAACATATTTGGTGACAGCGGTGGGATATTTTAAAAAGGGATAGTTTAAAAGTGGGGATAAACATTTAAAAGATTATAATTCGGAGAAAACAATTTAAAACAGTGAAATAACTGAATAGTTGAATAAAGTGATTGTGACAAACTTATGTACACTTAAATTACTTTATCAGCTCGCGGGTGTGTATTAAACAGTCAATTAAACATTCTACAAACTATTTTATTGAACTGTTACGTTATAAATAAGTGGACAAAGTTTAGTGCAACTTCTCCCTCTTGGGTTTTGGCACGGTTTCCCCAAGAGCGAAGTGTAACGACCCGCTAAGGAGACCCAGCACCTTTTTCATTTCGTTTTTATTATTATAATTTATTTTTAGTACAAAATGGTTAATTTAATTTTTATGTTTAATAGAGTTTATAAAAAAAAAATAATAATTAGTTTAATTTGTATTATATTTCTTATAATAAATAATTTTCATTAATCGATAATATAGTCTGTTTGAATAAGTCGATAAGCGATTAGTCGCTAAGTCGGTCGGTAAGTAGATTATCGATAAATGATCGACAAACGAATGCATACGCGCCAGCGCAACCCCGATGATCTCGCGGTTGGGTGAGATTCTAGAGTAGGGTGATCGCGTAGACTAAGGAACAGGGGTGCTCGGCCGTCACGTGATGGGGAATTCCAGAAATTCAGAGGAACCCTATGATAAAAAAAAGCGCTAAATCAGCAGAATCTGACTATAAATAGAGGCGTTCCACGCAGAGTCAGATCAGATCTTCCCTGGCTTCGGTCAGATGCAGACAATACTCTGGAAGTAGAGGAAAAGCTTGCGCTGAATTGCTTAGGCAACTATAGAGCGCGAGATTAGCTCTATCCTTCTCTTTCAGTAGTGACATACGAGAGTTAGGATCTGTGGACACCCTACTCATGGTACGCAACGTGTTGAACACGTGCTAATACTAAGCCACATGTTCAAGTGTAAAGAGCTAGCGAGGAGCGGAGCTCCTTGAGCAGGCCTGTATTAGCATAGCTCTGGCTAGACCAGAAACCGATTGCGACCTGTAGGTATAGTCCGCTCGTGTCCGAAGGTATCATACAAGCTACTAGAATGTAGTTTTCCAGTACTTAGTGTAACTTGGCAAATTGTACAGAGTATTGGCTGTATTCGAAGATCAAGTCGCGTTATTACTTACTAACCACTAATCATATATTTTCCACTGTATTTCATTATCTATGGCGTACCTATTATAATTTCTTATTGTATTTCATATTATAGCCGTACCTATTGTTATACTTAATATTATACTTAGAGCAATTATAGTTAATTTACTTACTTGAATAAAAGATAATTTTAGATTGATACATTAATGTTGGATTTCACTCCTTAACCGCACACCACACGAACCTATAATCCCTATTCTCATTCATACGAGTCGCCTTCTTGGGGAACCGCTCTCCCTATACGTCGGTGCAGTGACGTACCTATCACTGGGTCGTTACAGAAGGGTAAATACCGGAGGCAGGTGATTTCGGCTGCCGTGCAAGCCATCCACCGAAATCACGCGCACCTCGTCCATGTCATCGTTGCATTATTCCTGGAGCATAAGAGAGGACAAAATAAAATCAGGAGATTTGAGCGGATTTCTCACGGAGTTGAGGCCTACCTGAAGCAGCTGACTGCGGACAAATTTTACTGGAGTACCTGCTGCTGAATTGGGGACCATCGAGCCGGAGTACTGAGGGTTCTTCTCGTAAGCCGAGGTCAACCGGATCAACGGGTCGTCGACGGACGGAGTCGTACACCTGTGAAAGAAGCAACAAGTTAAACAAAAACGTTAAGTGACTTCTTGCGGATTATAAATTTATCGTGCAACAAAACTGTAAGTCCAAATTATAACCGATTAGATTATAGAATATTAGTTATAGCCAGTATATTTGATTCGACAAAATGCCGCCGTTAGCAAGGAAATTAGTAAGAGCCAGAAGGAAAAGGAGTCGCAAAAATAGTCTGCGTGGTGTTAATGTTATGTATGTAGAGGATGTTAAGGGAGAATCACCTAGCATAGGGTCTTCTTTTTCCTTGCATAATACTGAAACTCAGTTGCAGGAGTCACTTCTTGTCCCCGAACAATCTACTATATAGAGCTGGGGTGCGACGGGTGGTGTGCCAAATCCTGCTAGTAGCACGGTAAATAATACGCCAGTTTCATTTGGGGCAACAACTTCTAATGCGATTCTTTTCTCTTCACCCGGTGTTGGCAATCAATTAAATGTTTCCAACGTAGCACCTGCTCAACCTTCATCGCAACCTTCGGCTGGAAATATACCCGAAAATCCGGTAATGACGCTACCTGAGTCTTCGACTTCGTCGCATGCTCCATACGATTTGTTAAGCAAATTCGTACCTCATTTTGATGGTAAATCGTCCTCAGTAAATCACTTTATTGCACAGTGTCGACTCGCTGATTCTTTGGTCAAACTGGGTGATAAAGTCTATTTGCTCGTGCTGATCCAAAGTCGGACGCAGCAGCACATTTATAGAAGTATAGCAGGTAATGCAAGTCCTAAAACCGTAGAGATGTTGATTACTTTGATTAAATGCGCTTGTGCTAGGACTTTTAATTTAAACGACATATTAAATGAATTAAAAGCTGTACGTCGTAATGAGCGTGAAACGATAGAGGAATTCGGATTTAGGGTAAATGGAATTTTAGATCACGGGTTACAGGCAGCTCTAGAGAGTTACGATTTGGAAAAATTTTTGGGAATTCAAACTTTACTCACAGAGAGTGCGGTACATGGTTTCCTGAGAGGATTACGGAATGATATCTTCGCGGGTATCGTTTCTAGGGATCGTGTGAGTGACGTAGTATCTGCTGCAAAATTAGCGTCGCGAATAGAAGCCCAGATCGACCCTCCGCGGACATCTCGAAATCCTAAACCGCTCGATATTAATTCCAGAGTTTTGACGGCAGAAGTGCGTGGAAACATATGTTATAATTGTGGAAGACCGGGTCATCTTTCCAGGCAATGTTATGCGCGAAGGGATCATCAACGCGGGGGGCCAAGTCGCGACGTTTCTAGGTGCCGAAGGTGTGGGAAACTTGGTCACACGGATTTCCAATGCCGGAGGGGAAATGTTAACCGCGTTCAGGAAAATACTGACCGTGTTTGGAGGAAACCGCAATCACCAATTCCTTCAACTTCTAGGCAGCAGGAAAATCCTTTAAACTCAAAGGGAGTTTCGTCGACGGGTACAGCACGGAGGGAACCCCTTATCTCTCGCGCCGGATCCACCGCGTTGGCCGCGAAACCAGTTTAAAGCAGATCAGACAATCGCCATATATTTCTTTAGAACACGAACATTTTCGGAATGGTCTCGCTAAATTCCTTGTAGACACCGGCTCGCAACTTAACCTAATTAAACGAAGGGCATTAAATCCTGATTTATCGATCGACGAAAATGTAGTTTATCATCTTACCGGCATTAGTGCAGGTATAGTCAAGACATGGGGTGATGTAGTTCTTAGTGTGCATGGCATCCCTGTACATTTTTAGGTGGTGGAAGATGACTTTCCTGTTAGGGAGGCCGGAATTTTAGGGACGTCATTTTTGGAAAAGCAAAGGGCTACACTGAGGTTTGGAGAAAATTTTCCATGTCTTGTGGAATTTGGTGATGAAAATTTGCGCACTCCCATTTTCTCATCATATGAGTTGCCTCCTCGGAATAAAGTTTTGATTTCTGTCCCAACGAAGGGTGATATTACATCGGGTTACGTTAGGAGAATTGATGCTGGTCCTGGTATCTTTTTGGGAGAGGTATTTGTTAATCAACAAAACGGTTTGGTCAAATTATTTGTTATTAATACTACATCGGATTACGTTACGCTTACAATACCGCAGGTTAAATTGGAAGATTTTGAACTGAAACATCCTGCATCGCGTTCTTCTCGAACGGGAAATCCGAACGCAAATAGATCAGCAGATCAGGCTCAAAGATTTAGTGCACTGCTTAATTACTTGGATCTGAGTCACCTTCAAGAAGGGGAAAAGGCCAGTATCTTGGAAATTATAAATGAATTTTCGTATCAGTTCCACCTTCCTTCAGATAAACTGAAGACAGCTAATGTTCCTTCTCATACAATTACTACAACCGACGAAATACCCATACATACCAAGCAGTATAGGTACCCTCCGATCCATAAAAATGAAATAGAAACTCAGGTAGATTCCTTGCTTAAGGACAAAATTATCCAGCCGTCGGTATCCCCTTACAATTCACCTGTATGAGTAGTCCCGAAAAAACCTGGTTCTTCTGGAAAACCACGATGGAGGATGGTCATTGATTATAGAAAATTGAATGAAAAAACTGTGGCTGATGCGTACCCTCTTCCAAATTTTACCGAAATTTTGAATCAGTTAGGAGGGGCGAAATATTTCAGCACTCTCGATTTAGCTTCTGGTTTCCACCAGATTCCTGTAGATCCTGCATCGAAGTCTAAAACGGCCTTTTCTACCCCTCACGGTCATTATGAGTTCAACAGAATGCCCTTTGGTTTTAAGAATGCTCCAGCCACTTTTCAAAGGGTTATGGACTTGATACTATCCGGGTTGCAGGGCATCGAGCTTCTGGTTTATATGGACGATATTGTCATTTATGCAGCCTCCATCGAAGAGCATGGGCGTAAGTTGAGAACCCTTTTAGCTCGGTTACAAAACGCTGGATTGACCCTTCAGCCTGAAAAATGTCGCTTTTTACAAAAGGAAATAGTATATTTAGGGCATGTAATCACGAGCGAGGGTGTAAAACCGGATCCCGGGAAAATTCAGGCAGTAAAACAGTTTCCCATACCCAAGACTGGGAAGAATATTAAACAGTTCCTGGGTCTTGTAGGGTATTATAGGCGGTTCATTCCCAACATGGCTCGGATTGCCAAACCCTTGACTAGACTTTTGAAAAAGGAGGTACCTTTTCGTTGGACAGCTGACGTGCAAACTTCCTTCGAAACCTTAAGAGATATTATCTGTGCGGAACCTCTATTGCAGTTCCCGAATTTTTCACAGTCATTCCTCGTTGCTACGGATGCTTCTAATTATGCTATTGGCGTCATCCTTAGCGAGGGACCAGTGGGAAAAGATCTCCCAGTCGCGTATGCCTCCAGATCACTAAATGACGCACGAGTTAATTATTCAACGATTCAAAAACAATTGTTAGCAGTTCTTTTTGGTGTAGAACATTTTCGACCTTACCTTTATGGCCGACAATTTACATTGCTCACTGACCATAGACCCTTAGTATGGTTACACAATGTCAAGGATCCAACATCTAAAATTATGAGATGGCGGATTAGGTTGAATGAATACGACTATACTGTGGTATACAAACCTGGAAAGGTTAACGTCAACGCCGATGTACTATCACGAAACCCCGTAGAAACCTGCATAAATCCTGTTCCTCAACCAAAACCCATACGGTCTGACACTGATTCTAATTTGGATTTACAACGTTTGGAAGGGGTGCTCGCCTGTACAGGTGGGGTGCCGCCTTCAGATACTGAAACAGATAGAGCAGATGAAATGTTATTTGTTGGAAATAAAATTCTTGTGGCCTCTGCTTTCCTGGCGCGCGGGAACGCAGCGGTCGATTTTAATGAGACTATAAATAAAGTTAATGTAAGGAATTGTTGCCTAGGATAAGAAATCCAGGTGATAGAATGGGAACGCCATTGTGTCCAGCGCGCCATGGTTCACACTCGTTGGGATGGACTAGTGTGTCTTTACGCGATTCCCAACGTTTGGTGAACATGGATACGCGCTTGCATGGCATTGAATGTGAAACAACACCGATACGGCCAATTCAGCTGGGTGAGAATGAATGCGTTAGGAACTGCACTGGCGAAAGGATCAGACAGGTAGAGGGCAAGATTGCACAGGTAAAACCTGGGGAAAAAACAACTTTAAATATAGTCTCTATGTAAAAAGATAATTTTGATAAATAATAAAAATACGGACAATAGTCAAAGTAGAGTCTTAATTAATAATACAGACGACACAGTAAACAGACCTGAAGAATATCCTTCTTTCTTACCTACTATTCACGATGTAAAGGACAACCTTTTCATGTGGCAAGACAATCTCGTTCATTTTATTCCTTTAAATTGTATGGACACATCTCAAACCACTATGGGTTTGTTAAACCGAATTGGATTCTCAGTAGAGGAAGTGCAACAATATCAATTTGAAATCGGCAATGCCATGGCTTTTCCGCACGATAAACACTCCGTCTTCTTTTTGTTCTATAAAAATGAACATCAAAGTGAGTTTAATCTCGATTACGTCGAAACCTCATTAAAATCACTTAAACCTCTTTTAGACACCTTGGATACGAAAACGTTTAGTATCTTGATAGATCCGGACAGATTCAACCCTACGGAACGAAGCAATATAATAAATTTAATCAACCAGATTTTTGATAATTCTGAATATATCATTACCTTGTGCACTGGAGAAATTGTAGTTCCACCGGAATCTAGTCATTCTCAAATCATTCAGGAGCATCATGAATCTGCAATTGGAGGTCATAGGGGTGTTTTTAAATTGCACCAACTTATTCACGAACGGTTTTATTGGCCGGGTATGGCAAAGGAGATTACAGAATTCGATCGCACCTGTCCTCTTTGTCAGAAAAATAAAAATTATACTGCTGCAATTAAACAACCAATGCAAATCACCGATACACCTTGTCAAGCTTTTGAAAAAATACAAATGGATATAGTTGGACCTCTACCCGTAACTAATGAAGGAAATCAGTATTTACTCACTCTGCAAGATAATTTGACTAAATATTCTGATGCAATTCCATTAAAAACCATAGATACAGTAACCGTTGCTCATGCTCTTGCCGAACAGTTTATCAGTAGATTTGGATGCCCACGGGTTATCCATACTGATCAAGGGAGGAACTTCATTAATCAGGTAATGAAGAATTTCTGTAGGATTTTCAAAATACAGCGAATAACATCCACGGCTTTTCATCCTCAGTCGTTGGGTTCTCTTGAAAGGGCACACCGTAGTTTTATTAATTATCTCAAACACTACTGCACAAAGACGGATTGGGATGATTGGATACGTTTTTGTATTTTTTCGTGCAATACTTCTGTACATGAGGGCACTGGGTTTACCCCTCATCAATTAGTTTTTGGTGTTAAAGCCAACATACCTTCCGAATTTGACAAGGGGCAAACGCCTCGAACTTTTGCACAGCATTTTAATGAGCTTTTTACTAAAATCACCACCACACAGGCTATGGCTGCACGAAATCTGGAAAAAGCGAAACAGAGGAGTAAGAGTTACTACGATCAAAGGTTAAACCCATGTAAATTTAATGTAGGCGACATGGGATACTTACTCAAAGAGCCTAGAACTTTCAAATTTGACTGCGACTGGCTGGGTCCCTATAAAATAAGTTGAATGTTTGGTGACTTAACAGCGAAATTGGAATTAAAAGAAAATAAGTGTAAAATAGTACATACCAATAAACTAAAAGTGGCGTGTATATGGCTGGACGATCCAACCGAAGACTGAATTAGATTTCTGCGAATCGTTGATGCCTTGTAAGCTTGTGCTTATATTCTACTAATATTAAGGCTTACGAATAATCCAGAGACAATTGATAATATATGGAAGAATTACTATTTGTTGTATGTTTACATATACGGATCATGATGTGTGCGAAATTACGAACTATTGAATGGGCTATTGAAGTTGTACGGCACGTGACTTTGGAATGAATTAGTTGATACAGACTTTCTTTCACGTTATTAGAGAGAGAAATGTTATGAATGAAAAAGCTGTTTTATGTAAACACCTTTTTGTATAAGGGGGAAGGTGTAACGTGAAATGTTATCACGTGAATATGGTTAGAGTGTTATGGCGACACTGCCATGGGAATATTTATAGATAGTCTGTTGTATCGATATGTCTTGAATGTTCTTCGAGGACCTTTTGTATCGACCGTCATAAATTAAGAGCGAAATTCAAACATCATCTGTGCGTACACTTATATAAATAGACAAAGACTACATTGTAAACCCTCGACATGGGTGATCGAGCTGAGAGAAGGCCGGAAATCGAGAGAATGGAATAGTTTCACTTCGAAAATTCCTAAAAGACTAATTTATGATAGACCATAGCCAATTCGTTGTTTTCGACCAAGTCAGGAACGGTCCTTAAAAGTTACGAAGTCTTTTTCGATATCCTGTCTATTCATGCACTCTGAGAGGGTCGTAAATTTCCTCAAGAGTTGCTTTGGCAAGTACAAGGTCTTGTCGTTTCCTAATTTCTCTGGGTCCCACGCTTTCTCGTAGCGCATGTGCGCTGCAACGTTCTAGCGTCTTGGCGGAGCGCCTCCACTTCCACGCGCCTGAGGGTGAACCACAGCCAGGAGAAGGGGCCTGCGCAGGACGGAGTGGACTCCTCCACCATTGGACGAGGGATGATCCTGAGGGAGGATGCAGGATCCGCCAAGGAAGGGGCATCGACCGACAACGCGCGAAGATCTCCTCCACCAAGCGCAGAATCGTCAGATTGAATTTGTCACTCGATTTAGACAAGTCCTTCTCACGCGCTAAATTTATCGCATTGTAAAAACAAGTTACAAAGTCAGCCTAAATAAAACTTTAAAATATTAAAGTACAATAAGCGATAATAATAGCTTGTTATTTTCACATCTGCGCCTTTCGAGCGGAGCGCCTCCGCGTTCTACGGATTGTGACACCTGCGCCTTAATTCCCCTAATTTCTCTACCTTCCGCGAACGGACACGCAACAACGGAATTCACTAAAGGGTATAGCAGGATAAGATGGTCAAAAGTGCCCTTGAGCCGAATTTGCTTCGCAATGCACCATTCGATAGCATATCCCAAAAAACCATGGTACACCAAGTTTCAACCCTGTACCTCAACCGGGAGGGTAGTTACAGCGTAAGAAAGAAAAAGTAGTTTTTGCCATATTTTCCCTATTTAATGGCATTCAAAAAATCTGAAAAAATTCTAGAATATTCTAGCCATGTTTCTTTATGATTGTGAATTTTTTCAGATTTTTCAGTTGCAAATCCTAGGCGTGAAAAATCAAAAACGCAAAAAAAAGTCGAAAAATAGAGATTTCGGGTAGAAGCTTTCGAGACACTAGATTTTTACTTTTACAGTAGTTAGATATTAGCATGACTGGTGTCCACAATTTTTTTCAGATTTTTCATTCTGGTGCGTCAAACCGAAAAAAATCAAAAACCGATATTTTCGACATATTTCGTGCGATAACATGAGAAATACTTTCAATTTTTACATTTCCTTTACACACTTAGTGCATTATGTGATTTCGAACATTTTTGCACTGGATGAAGTAAATTCTGAATGGAGAGAGTAAAGTTATTATAAATAATTGAAAATTACGCACCTTATCCTCTAAAATATTAGAAAGTTTTTCAACGTTGCCGATGGGTAAGTTGGTAAGGTGTTCGACTATGGAACCGCTGGAAACTTTTTTGTCACGAGTTCGCGCCCCATGAATGTACAATTCTATTTTTTGTCATAAAACAATTTTTTTTTTTAATTATTAATTACATAAGAATACACAATAATCATTTAATAACGTATGAAAATAATTTTGAAATATTTTATTATTAAGTATACATAAAAATAAGTGTTACACAACCGACTCTTTGGCTATATGTACAATTAAGGTAAAATATACATATATTGCTTTCAATATCCATCATAAACCAACAACCACACAGCTTTTCAATTAACAAAATATTGGGAGCTATCCGTAATTAGAACAATACGTAATCAGAAAATCGGTAGTGCACCACTTATTTTTATGTATACTTAATAATAAAATATTTCAAAATTATTTTCATACGTTATTAAATGATTATTGTGTATTCTTATGTAATTAATAATTTTAAAAAAAAATTGTTTTATGATAAAAAATAGAATTGTAGATTCATGGGGCGCGAACTCGTGACAAAAAAGTTTCCAGCGGTTCCATAGTCGAACACCTTACCAACTTACCCATCGGCAACGTTGAAAAACTTTCTAATATTTTAGAGGATAAGGTGCGTAATTTTCAATTATTTATAATAACTTTACTCTCTCCATTCAGAATTTACTTCATCCAGTGCAAAAATGTTCGAAATCACATAATGCACTAAGTGTGTAAAGGAAATGTAAAAATTGAAAGTATTTCTCATGTTATCGCACGAAATATGTCGAAAATATCGGTTTTTGATTTTTTTCGGTTTGACGCACCAGAATGAAAAATCTGAAAAAAATTGTGGACACCAGTCATGCTAATATCTAACTACTGTAAAAGTAAAAATCTAGTGTCTCGAAAGCTTCTACCCGAAATCTCTATTTTTCGACTTTTCTTTGCGTTTTTGATTTTTCACGCCTAGGATTTGCAACCGAAAAATCTGAAAAAATTCACAATCATAAAGAAACATGGCTAGAATATTCTAGAATTTTTTCAGATTTTTTGAATGCCATTAAATAGGGACAATATGGCAAAAACTACTTTTTCTTTCTTACCCTGTAACTACCCTCCCGGTTGAGGTACAGGGTTGAAACTTGGTGTACCATGGTTTTTTGGGATATGCTATCGAATGGTGCATTGCGAAGCAAATTCGGCTCAAGGGCACTTTTAACCATCTTATCCTGCTATACCCTTTCTTGACAATTGTACTAAATAATATTAATTATTTAGTCCGACAATATATTGTTCAAATTATATTTCTTTTTCTTGATAATCTCCAGTACGTCACCGTGGGACGCATTTCTTTTAGACGCCGTGCCGATTGGATGCGATCCTTTTGAACGCCGGTCCGATTGGACGGGATTTGACGCGTTTCTATTGGACGCCGTGCCGATTGGACGCGCTCTGACGTGTTCCTTTTGGACGCCAGTCCGATTGGACGCGTTCTGACGCGTTCCTTTTGGACGCCGTGTCATTTGGACGCCATATATTTCAATATCATTCCTTTTGGGAGTCTGTAGATAGTGTTATTGTTCGTCGATTCAAATTCCTATACTATTTGAATGCGTATGCATGCTGAAGTATGTGATTACATATTAAGGGGGTAGACACGGGTACTGCAGCGCGGTGACATTACCGGCAAATATGGGCCTATTAATGGGTTTACGGGAATCGGTTATTTGTCCTTATATGAGAACACATAGGACTGGGTGAGGGCTCATTCGAAAGAGGAAGGTCCAATGCAGGGCGGTAAACTCATGGTTTAACGAGATTATGTCCATATTTAATAATATCAGTGTCGAAAGTAGAAGAAAAAATCGACAAAATGCAGTTGCGAAATCGAAGTATTTTTAGGCAACTAAACGAGTTTTGTCACTCAAACGGTGAGTTGACCGCCCTGCATTGAACCTTCCTCTTTCAAATGAGCCCTTATTCAGCTCAAGATCTTTTCATATAAGGACGAATAACCGACTCCCGTAAAAGCATTCCCAAAGACGAGTTCCGCCATTATCTGGATACTACAGAGCAAGTTACGTGACAAATTTAGTTAAGCTAGTAGTTATAAGGTGGCGTCTAAGTAGAAAGGTTGCCGAGTTGGAATTGTAGTCAGAATCAAGCGTTAGCTTGATTATGTCACTTGAACTGTGCTGCGAAGGCAAGCGAAAAAGGCAACATCGCCCGAACGCTGAGTGAGACGCACTACAGTCATTCTGTCCTTCTCTCATTCTGAATGTTGAGATTGTCCCTTTTCACTAAGTTTTGACTGCGGCCCGCCTGGATTTTACACAGCGCCCCATAACCTCGCCCCATTCAAACTATATTGTGTTTGGTATCATTTTAATCAGAAAAATGTCACCAATGCGCTAGTAAAAGTTTTAGTAAAAAAAAATAAAAAATAAAAAAGTTTTATAATTGAAGTAGTATTAGTCACACCGATACGTTTCGGCTCTTTCCTTTGATCATTAGACCTCTCTCTCTGTCCTCCACTGTCTGTCCCTTTCTACGTTCATGCTTGGCTGGTCGTCGCATCTAATTCGAGATTCGACATCTCGGCTGGATGTATGCAACGTCTGGTTCCCAATCTCTGTTGCATATATTCAGCTTTTACTGTATATGTAGACGCGAGGTCCCTCCATTTATTAGTTCTAATAGTACCATAGTACTTTTTTATGCAGAATTTTTCAAGGAGTTGACACAAGTAAAAAAAAATGCAATTCCATTTAAATAAAAAGTGGATTTGCATTTTTTGAGTGCATCGTTGCATTCACGAAGAAAATGAAATCACAGAAAGATAGATATTATCATTGAACTTTTACACGAACAGCTTTTTCCTATCTCTTACCAAATTCAAGATATAACCCGTCAGAAATTGCATGACGTACCCTGTATATTTTTATTAATTAAAAAACATTTATTTAAAGAAGTTAATAACTTTTTCTAAAAAATTTCTCAGATTGCACGTTCTTTCGGTTCTTCAGAGTAGGCATATATTTTTCAGCAGCGAAGGGTGCTACGGTGCGCTATATAAAATCCACGCGTTCAGTCGGTCAGAATTTATCGGAGCGGGACAATTCTATCATTTAGGTTCAGAGAAGGATAGCATGATCACCGTACATCTCACTCTAAACACGCGTCAATGTTTCGATTTTGTTCTTCAGCCGTATTGTCGCGATGCCTCTGGCGAGATGAGCGTTTGAATGTGTTTGTGAAAATACTTGAGGCGCTGTTGCCTTCCAAGATCGTGTTGCGCGCACGCTAGCTGAGAATTAAACCTTTCAAATTCGTAACAGACCACGCAAGTGGCTCCACCAGGCCCAACGAAAAAACTGCTGTAATACCGACGTCCCGAATCGGAGAGGTCACGTGCCGTGTCTACCCCCTTAAGGCCACAATGCAGGGCGGTCAACTCACCGTTTGAGAGACAAAACTCGTTTAGTTGCCTAAAAATACTTCGATTTCGCAACTGCATTTTGTCGATTTTTTCTTCTACTTTCGACACTGATATTATTAAATATGGACATAATCTCGTTAAACCATGAGTTGACCGCCCTGCATTGGACCTTCCTCTTTCGAATGAGCCCTCACCCAGTCCTATGTGTTCTCATATAAGGACAAATAACCGATTCCCGTAAACCCATTAATAGGCCCATATTTGCCGGTAATGTCACCGCGCTGCAGTACCCGTGTCTACCCCCTTAAGGCCACTTGCGTGGTCTGTTACGAATTTGAAAGGTTTAATTCTCAGCTAGCGTGCGCGCAACACGATCTTGGAAGGCAACAGCGCCTCAAGTATTTTCACAAACACATTCAAACGCTCATCTCGCCAGAGGCATCGCGACAATACGGCTGAAGAACAAAATCGAAACATTGACGCGTGTTTAGAGTGAGATGTACGGTGATCATGCTATCCTTCTTTGAACCTAAATGATAGAATTGTCCCGCTCCGATAAATTCTGACCGACTGAACGCGTGGATTTTATATAGCGCACCGTAGCACCCTTCGCTGCTGAAAAATATATGCCTACTCTGAAGAACCGAAGGAACGTGCAATCTGAGAAATTTTTTAGAAAAAGTTATTAACTTCTTTAAATAAATGTTTTTTAATTATTAAAAATATACTGGGTACGTCATGCAATTTCTGACGGGTTATATCTTGAATTTGGTAAGAGATAGGAAAAAGCTGTTCATGTAAAAGTTCAATGGTATGATAATGTTTATTTTTCTATGACCTCATTTTCTTCGTGAATGCAACGATGCACTAAAAAAATGCAGATGCCCTTTTTATTTAAATGGAATTGCATTTTTTTCTTTACTCGTATCAACTCCTTGAAACATTCTGCATAAAAAAGTACTATTAGAACTAATAAATGGAGAGGCCTCGGCTCTTTCTCTCCTCTTCCCTCACTACTATTCCCTCTCACTATTTTGCTGACGCGCCTATATCTAACAGTACAATATTTAAAAAACTAATATTTCGTGAGATATCTCATACTTTTCATATGTCTCATCATTCAACTTTTACATCAATAGCTTTTTCCTATCTCTTACCAAATTTAAGATATAACTCGTCCCAATTGCGTGACGCTTATATTTTGAGAAACCTATAGTAACTTTGTTTTTACGAAACTAATAAAAAATACAAAAGAGTCAATATTCTGAGTGAATGCAAATAATTTAAATAAATAAATATCCCGTATACAACTTATATAAACGTTTGTAGAATTATTGCAAAGAGGAGGTATATTCTTCTCTTGTTATACCTCCTCTGTGAGCGAGGTTTGTTATGGGGTGCTGTGAAAAATCCAGCCGGGCGTAAGTCAAAATCTAGCGAAAAGGGACAATCTCAACATTCAGAATGAGAGAAGGACAACATGACTGTAGTGCGTCTCACTCGGCGTTGTTGCCTTTTTCGCTTGCTTTCGCTTGCCTTCAGTCGAGTGACGTAACCAAGCTAACGCCTGATTTTGACTACGATTCCAAATCGGCAGCCCTCTTAGTTAGACGCCACCTTATAACTACTAGCTGAACTGAATTTGTCATATGAATTGCTCTGTATTATCCACAAAATGGCGGAACTGGTCTGTGAGAATGCTTTTACGGGCATCCGTTATTCGTCCTTATTTCGCAACAAATGAAGACAAAATACATCTTAATTTACAGGTAAGGGTTGTGGCTAGGCCGCTCAACTCATGATTTCAATCACAGCACTCTTTTAGTGGCCTAAAAATGCTTCGATTCCGCGAATGCATTTTGTCGATTTTTTACCTCTACTTTGCACGCTTATATTACTAAACATCATCATAATCCCACTGAAACATGAGTTCAGCGGTGTGCATTGGACCTTCCTCTTTCGAATAAGCCCTCACCCAGCCCTAAATGTTCTCATACAAGGACGAATAACGGAAGCGCGTAAACCCATCTTTATACCCATTTTTGCCGGTAATGTCAACGCGCTACTATTACCCGTGTCTACCCCCTTAAATTCGGAAGTGAATTTAATATGTATCTGGAGTTTTTATCGACGCTTGTGTGCAACATTCTAATATATTATGATAAAATGGTGTAAGAAACAAGATGTCCAGTTTTTGACAATCCGATATTGCTGTGTTTTCTTGTGGGTTTTCCATTTCCACAGTCTCTAATTGAATGCAGCTGCTATCGTCACATTAATTGAGGGAAACGAATCGCCAATACGCTTGTTCCATAAAACAACTACGGTCAGTATATTGTGCATATCGTTTGACATGTATAGGTTAGAGTAGAGGAATAATTACAAGGTTGTTATTAAGATATCAATATCTGCTAATAAGTAAGGTCAAAAAGTTATGTGTAACGTTTGACAGGTATAGGTTAGAATGTGAAATTTTACACAAAGAATTGAATATTTGACAGAATAGGTTTTTTATATTAATATTATGTATCATATATTTTAATTATTAATTTGAATGTAAGTACGTATATAGTAAGGAAAATGCGTTATAAACATGAAGAAGATTTTTTATCTCGTAAGGTAGGATAAGGAGATTTGAAGAGAAATCAATGAACATGGAACGGGACTTTTTTTAATCGGATTTAATGTTTGAAGTACCCATAAGTTGAGTCCTGCGACATGTCATTGATGGTCACCCACAATCTGATTAAAAAAGAAGTAAACTCCTACTTTGATCCACGTTCATAGCATGCATTTAATGAATCTTTTTACTTATTTTATGCTTCAATTAGCTTTATATTTCTTCGTTTAGAATCATAGTTTTGACTACAATTCAATCTATTTGTTGAAAATGTTTTGTACAATTTAACAATGTATGTATTTACTTTCGATGTTGACCACTAAAGTAACTGTGGAATTAAATTCGTTGAAGTGAGTAATCTTATTTCTATGTAATTATATACTTTTACAGGGATCATCATGATCTAACCAAATTACAATCAAAGAAGATAGAGAGAATGTACAGAATTTCCAATAAAATACCAGGACAAATAACAGAAGTATGTTCTCGAAACAGAAATGCAGTTACTTTCTTGCAAGATATATCTGGAAATATGATGAAGGTAAAAGAAATATTAAACCTTATTTTGTTCAATATGTACATCCTTTATTTCAAATTAATGTTGTTGAGTACAATGTATCAATATATAATAATATGATTTCTTCTTCTTTATTTTCAGCGTTTGATCAGACACGGAGGGGAAAATTGCAACAGAGATATTATGGAGTATATATATATATATATCTTCATACATGTAGCTTTTCACATTAAGAAAAAGAGCATATAATAGAAGCTTTTCACTAATTGAATATGACAATCAAAATCAAATTGGGGATATATTTGCCATTATTTGGCAATTAATTTGGTAGATTCCAAATATAGATGCAGTCGAATATAATGTATCAATATATAATAATATGACTTCTTGTTCTTTTTCTATATTTTCAGAATCTGTTCAGACATTGATGGGAAAATTACCACCAAAAATTATGAAGTACAAAAATTGAATAAATACATTAAAGAAATTAACCAGCGTAGAGTGAAATACTAAGATAAATAACAAGAACATACTCTGAAAAGAAATGCAATTACTTTGTCGCAAGATATATCTGGAAATATGTTTAAGGTAAAAGGAATATAGAATCTTATTTTCTTCAATACATCCTTCAATTCAAATTAATGTTGTGGCGGTCAATGTATCAATATATAATAATATAATATCTTTTTCTTTATTTTCAGCATTTATTTAGACATTGATGTGGAAATTACAATAAAGGAATTATGGAGGAGAACAATTTGATAGATACAGTGAACAAATTATCCAAAGAAGAGGATTATAAAATTAGATAAGTTTGTCTTCCAAATCATGGACTATAAAAACAATGTAATGCGAGCATATTTTAAGTAAATAAATTAATAGGAGAAAATGAAACTCTTAAATTGTAATTTCCTGTTCCAATTTCCTTAATGTAGAATTTAATTCATGGTTCACATTGTCTTTTGCTACTTACAAATAAATACTTTTGTTTTGTCCAAATTCATAAATAAAAAAAAAAGTTGTAATATCGCAGTTGTTACTTTGTATCACTTGTGTTTACAAATCTCAAACTCATCTTCTCCGACTACAACAGTCCAATTGAAATATTCTATTGTTCAGACCAATTAGAAAATATATTAAAACTTTTAGAAACAATCTTGTTCAACGAAGACTTATGGGGAAAAGATAGAAAATGATATCTAATTACTATGAATTAGTTTTATGTCACCATAGGCAAATATAACCTAAAATCTTACAATGCGCAATTCACTAAATTTCTTGAACAATTGTACTAGATAATATTAATCACATGTAGTCCGACAATATATGGTGTCAATTACATTTCTTTTTCCTGGCAATCACCGATACTTTACAGTTTTTTGGCGAAACACGGAGCACGTGACAGAATGTAACGCGTTATACAGCTGATGCGATAAGACTGTAGAAATCGATCGAAATCGATAATTCCACTATTTTTCCACGCATTTTCATGATCAACCCCTTTTTTCTGTCGAAAATCACGAGTACTTTTCAATTTTTCAGCGAAAAAAGGTGCTTATCATGAAAAATAAGTTGTTTTAAATACGACGCATTAAAATAGTAAGAAATTGCAAAAATCATTATTTCCACTATTTTTCCATGTATTTGAATGATCGACCACACTTTGTACTGGAAATCGCGAAAGGTTTTCAATTTTAAAAAGAGTGGTCGATCACGCAAATACATGGAAAATTAGTGGAAATAATGATGTTTTGATTTTTTACTAATTTATTGCATCGTATTTAAAGCAACTTATTTTTCATGAGAAGCACCTTCCCTCGTTAAAAAATTGATAAGCACTCGTGACTTTCAACAAAAATAGTGTTGATCATGAAAATGCGTGGAAAACAAGTGGAACATTGATTTCTATCGACTTCTACAGTCTTATCGCGTCAGCTGTATAACGCGTTACATTCTGTCATGTAGTCCATCTTTCACCAAAAAATTGTAAAGTATCAGCGATTACCAGGAAAAGGAAATATAATTGACACAATATATTGTCGGACTATATGTGATTAATATTATCTAGTACAATTGTTCAGGAAATTTAGTGAATTGCGTATTTTAAGATTTTAGGTTATATTTGCCTATGGTGAATTAAAACTAATTGATAGTAATTAAATATCCTTTTCTATCTTTTCTTCATAAGTCTTCTCTGAAAAAGATTGTTTCTATATGTTTCAATATACTTTGCAATTGGTCTGAACAATAGAATATTTCAATTGGACTGTTGTAGTCGTAGGAGTTGAATTTGAGATTTGTAAACACAAGTGATACAAAATAGTTGAAAGTGAATAGTAAAGTAACAACTGCGATATTACAACTTTTTTTTTATTCATGAATTTTGACACGACAAAAGTATTTATTTGTAAGTACAAAAAGGCAATATGAACCATGAATTAAATTCTATAGGAAAATGGAACAGGAAATTACAATTTAAGAGTTTCATTTTATCCTATTAATTTATTTACTTAAAATATGCTGGCATTACATTGTTTTTATAGTCGATGATTTGGAAAACAAACTTATCTAATTTTATAATCCTCTTTGGATAATTTGTTCACTATATCTATCAAATTCTTCTACTCCATAAATTCTTTGTTGTAATTTCCTCATTCTGAATAAATGCTGAAAATAATGAAAAAGATGTATTATTATATATTGATACATTGACCGCCACAACATTAATTTGAAATAAAGGATGTATTCAAGAACATAAGATTTAATATTTCTTTACCTTAAACATATTTCCAGATATATCATGCAAGAAAATAATTGTATCTGTTTGCATAGTACGTTTTTGTTATATGTCCTACTATTTCATTCCATGCTGGAAAATATCTTTAATGTATCTATTCAACTTTTCTGCTCCATAATTTTTTGCTTCTAATTTCCTCATGAATGTCTGAATAAATGCTGAAAATAAAGAAAAAGAAATAATATTATTTTATATTGATACATTGTACTCAATAACATTAATTTGGAATAAAGAATGTACTGAAGATAATAAGGTGTAATATTTCGTTACATTAAACATACTTCCAGATATGTCTTGTAAGAAAGTAACTGCATTCAATTTCCAAATATTTTTCTCTCTAACCATCACCTGTCAAATGTTACAAATAACTATTTGACCTTAGTTATGAGACAAGCGTATCGTTGTTTCGTTTCATTCAATTAAGGTGATGAGAACCGCTGAAATCAATTGGAGGCTGTAGAAATGGTAGATGTAAATAGATTTCACAGCGATAGTAATATACCTTTAATACACAAAACTATTTACCAAATAATGTTAAGTATATCAAACATTTGATTTTGGCTGCAATTTAATTATTTATTAATAAAACTGTATTATATGCTCCTCTTACAGCGGTAAATAGATAGATATTACTTTGCAATGAGAATGATACGCACCATGTCATGCCGTATTGTCAAGCACTCATGCACTACTAATGAAACAAAGCAAACCAGTACATTTGCGTAATTAGGCAATATTATTGTATCTTTAGTCCTATTACATGCAATACGTGGATGAATGATCCCCTGGTATCTTAATGACCACCTTGTAAATATTCCTCTACTCTAACCTATACCTGTCAAACGATATACATAATTTACGAATCTTACAATTAGTTGTTTTATGAAACAAGTTTTCTACGCACCGTGCTAAGTCGGATTGTCAAAAACTGGACATCTCGTTTCTTGCACTATTTTGTTAAAAAATATAAAAATGTAGCGCACAAGACTCAATAAAAATTGCACATATACATTAAAATACCTCTAAATTTAATATTTTTGACCATGAATGTAATCACATACTTAAGCATGCATACTCATTCAAATAGCATAGGAATTTGTATCTGTAGCGACCATCGGCGCGCTCTTATGCGCCCTCTGAATGTCACTAGGTTAAGTTAGGTTAGTTTTAGTTTCTAGTGTAACGTGAAACGTTATCACGTGAATATGTTTAGAGTGGTGTGGCGACACTGCCATGAGAATATTTATCGATAGTCTATTGTATCGATATGTCTTGAATGTTCTTCGAGGACCTTTGTATCGCTGGTCATAAATTAAGAGCGAAATTCGAACATCGTCTAAGCATACCCTTATATAAATAGACAAAGAGTAAATTGTAAACCCCTCGACGTGGGTGATAGAGCTGAGAGAAGGCCGGAAGTCCAGAGAATGGAATAGTTTCACTTGGAAAATTCCTAAAAAACTAATTTATGATAGACCATAGCTAATTCGTTGTTTTCGACCAAGTCACGAACGGTCCTTAAGGGTTACGAAGTCTTTTTCGATATCCTGTCTTTTCATGCACTCTAAGAGGGTCGTAAATTTCCTCAAGAGTTGCTTTGGCAAGTACAAGGTCTTGTCGTTTCCTAATTTCTCTGGGTCCCACGCTTTCTCTTAGCACATGTGCGCTGCAACGTTCTAGCGTCTTGGCGGAGCGCCTCCACTTCCACGCGCTTGAGGGTGGACCACAGCCAGGAGAAGGGGCCCACACGAGACAGGGTGGACTCCTCCACCATTGGACGAGGGATGATCCTGAGGGAGGATCTAGGATCCACCAAGGAAGGGGCATCGACCGACAACGCGCGAAGATCTCCTCCGCCAAGCGCAGAATTGTCAGAATGATTTTTGTTACTCGTTACGAACAAGTCGTTCTCACTCAGAAGGGTCTAAGCCTTAACAACGCAACTTTAAAGTTCTGATTTTAATTTGAAATACCAAGTATTAAAGTACTAAAAACAAAAATTACAGTTTCTTATTTTTGTAAATCCGCGCCTTGAGAGCGGAGCGCCTCTGCGCTCCACGGACTGTCACACCTGCACCTAAATCCCCGAAAATCCCTATTTTCCGCGACGGACACGCAACATATTTGGTGACAGCGGTGGGATAATTTAAAAGGGAATAGTTCAAAGTGGGGACAAACATTTAAAAGGTGACAGTTTAAAAGGTGATAATTCTGTGAAAAACAGTTTAAAACAGTGAAATAACTGAATAGTTAAATAAAGTGATTGTGACAAACTTATGTACACTTAAATTACTTTATCAACTCGCGGGTGTGTATTAATTGGGACCATTGAGCTGGAGTACCTGCTGTCGAATTTGGGGACCATCGAGCAGGAGACGGGACAGAGCCATACACCTGTGAAAGAAGCAACAAGTTAAACGAGAAACGTTAAGTGACTTCTTGCGGATTATAAATTTGTCGTGCAACAAAACTGTAAGTCTAGAATATTAGCAAATAGACTATAGAATATTAGTTGTAACCGTTAGTCCTAATTCGATAAGATGCCGCCGTTTTCAACGAAACTAGTAAGGGCCAGAAGGAGGAAGGGTCGCAAAAATAGTCTGCGTGGTGATAGCGTCATATTTGTGGAGGAAAGTTCAATAGAATCTCCTAGTAGAGGATCTTCTTCCTCAATTGGAAGGTTTGAACCCCGATTACAAGAGTCATCTCTTGTACCTGCCCAGTCCACGATGCAGAGTTGGGGTGAGCCGGGCGGTGTATCTGTTCCTTCTAGTAGCACGGCAAATAACACGCTAATGATTCCACCTAGGCCATTACCTTCTAATGTTTTGAATTCCTCTTCAGATGCGAATGAACATCAGACAAATACCTTAAATTTAGAGTCATTACAACCTTCCAAGGACAGTACGACTAGGGACGCGGTCACGTCATCGCCTAAACTTTCAAAAACCTTTACGGGCACCCAATACGATCTAGTAAAAAGTTTTATTCCTCATTTTGATGGAAAGCCGTCCCAGGTAAACCATTTTATTGCCCAATGTAGGCTTGCCGATACCTTAGCAAAAACCGAGGACAAAACACTTTTGCTCGCTATAATTCGGAATCGAATGCAACACCGGGTTTACAGGGGTATAGTGGGTGATGACGAACCGGAAACTGTGGAGGAATTGATAGCCCTGATTAAATCTACGTTCGCCCAAAGTTTTAATCTAAATGATACTCAAAATGAGTTGAAGACCGTACGCCGTCGTGAAAGCGAATCGATCGAGGAATACGGGTTCCGAGTAAACGATATTTTAGATCGTGGGGTACAGGGGGCGAAAGAAGATTTGAGTTCAGAGGAATTTGGGGGCATTAAAAAATTACTTATGACGAGCGCGGTGGCAGGATTTTTAGGGGGACTGGGAAATGATGTTGTCGCGAGTATACTTTCTAACGATGACGTTAAAGATTTAAGAGCGGCAATTAAATTAGCGTCAAAAATTGAAACTCAGGTGAATTCATCGCGGAATTCACAGAACACCAGCGTTCCTGATACAAATTCCAGAGTGCTGATCGCGGAAACGCGCGACCGCAGATGTTTTACTTGTGGGAAGGTCGGACATATTTCTGTCGATTGTCGGATACGACGGGACCGCCGTTTCGCAAATACAAATCGCGACACGCTCAGGTGCCAGAAATGCGGTAAAGCAGGTCATGCGAGTTCGGTATGTTACAGCAAAAATACTCACCGTGCCTGGGTAAAGGGTTCGCAACCAGCAGTTTCTTCGACCCCCGTAAATCGACGAAATCCTTTAAACTCAAAAGGGCCTCCGGAAACGGGCGCGACACGGAGAGAACCCCTGATATCACGCGCCGGCTCCACCGCGTCTGCCGCGAAAAGGAACTAATTAGTAAAAAGCAGTCACCGGCTGTTTTCCTAGCACACGAATATTTTCTGAATAAACCAATTAGTTTTCTTGTGGATACTGGTTCACAATTAAACCTTATTAAACGGAAGGAATTAAAACCAGATCTACCGGTCAACGTAGATAAAATTTATTACCTTACCGGGATTGGCTCGGGAACGGTCCAGTCGTGGGGTGAAGTCGTCATACCTATTCATGGTATCCCTATTTGTTTTCAAATGGTCGAGGACAATTTTCCTATTAAAGAAGCCGGACTTTTGGGGACGTCGTTTCTAGAAAAACAACGAGCTACAATTAGGTTTAAAGAAAATTTCCCATGTCTCATAGAATTCGGGGAGGAGAACCTCCAAGCTCCTACCTTTACATCTTTTGATCTACCTCCTCGAAAAAAGGTGTTGATTTCCGTCCCGACAAAGGGCAAAAATATGTCAGGCTATGTTAGAAGGATTGACGCTGGCCCTGGTATTTTCTTGGGTGAAGTATTGGCAAGTCAACAGGATGGCTTGGTTAAATTGTTTGTTATTAACACTACATCTGATTTTGTTACCCTTACGATACCACGGATTGAATTAGAGGAATTCGAATTGATACCTCCTGCATCTCGTTCGTCTCGAACAGGGAATCCGGGTTTAAATAAATCGGCAGATCAGGCTCGGAGATTTAGTGAATTACTAAAATATTTGGATTTAAGTCATCTTCAGGAGGGGGAAAAGGCCAGCATTCTGGAAATCGTTAACGAATTTTCATATCAATTTCATCTTCCTACGGACAAATTAAAAGCAGCCAATGTTCCTCATCACACTATTAGTACAACAGATGAAATACCTATTCATACTAAACAGTATAGATACCCACCAGTCCATAAAAACGAAATAGAAACACAGGTAGATTCCTTGCTTAAAGACAAAATTATTCAACCTTCGGTGTCCCCTTATAATTCACCTGTTTGGGTAGTTCCGAAAAAGCCTGGGTCTTCTGGTAAACCACGCTGGAGGATGGTTATCGATTATCGAAGATTAAATGAGAAAACTGTGGCTGATGCATATCCTCTTCCAAATATCACTGAAATTTTGGATCAATTAGGAGGAGCTAAATACTTCAGTACACTAGATTTAGCTTCTGGTTTCCATCAGATACCTGTAGACCCTGCATCGAAAATTAAAACGGCTTTCTCGACCCCTCATGGTCACTATGAATTCAATAGGATGCCCTTTGGCCTCAAGAATGCTCCTGCCACTTTTCAAAGGGTTATGGACTTGATATTATCCGGATTGCAGGGTGTTGAACTTCTTGTATATATGGATGATATTGTAATTTATGCAGCCTCCATAGAAGAACATGGGCGCAAGTTAAAGACTCTTTTAGCTCGTTTACAAAACGCTGGGTTGACACTTCAGCCTGAAAAATGCCGGTTTTTGCAAAAGGAAATAGCATACTTGGGGCATGTGATTACCGATGAGGGTGTAAAACCTGACCCTGGAAAGATTCGAGCCGTAAAACAATTTCCCGTACCCAAAACCAGGAAGAATATCAAACAATTCCTAGGTCTAGTGGGATATTATAGACGCTTCGTTCCAAATATGGCAAAAATCGCAAAACCGTTGACTAGACTTTTAAAGAAGGACGTACCTTTTCGTTGGACTGCCGATGTGCAAACCTCCTTTGAAACATTGAGAGATATTATTTGCGCTGAACCTTTATTGCAGTTTCCGAATTTTTCTCAGTCTTTTCTTGTTACCACTGACGCTTCTAATTACGCCATAGGCGCCATACTTAGTCAGGGGCCAGTGGGAAAAGATCTCCCAGTCGCATATGCTTCAAGATCTCTCAATGATGCAGAGATTAACTATTCGACAATTGAGAAAGAATTGTTAGCAGTCTTGTTTGGAGTGGAACATTTTCGACCTTACCTTTATGGCCGACAGTTTACATTGCTCACTGACCATAGACCCTTGGTATGGTTACACAATGTCAAGGATCCAACATCTAAAATCATGAGGTGGCGGATTAGGTTGAACGAATACGATTATACTGTGGTATATAAACCTGGAAAGGTCAACGCCAATGCCGACGCACTTTCGCGGAACCCCGTAGACACCTGTATAAATTCAGATCCTCAACCACTTATCGTATGGTCTAGCATGGATTCCAATCCCGGTTCGCGGTGTCTGGAAAGGGTGCTTGCCTGCGCAGGTGGGACACCAGTTGCAGGCTCCGAACCGGCCGGGATGGACGAAATGCAGTTCGTCTATAATGAATCGCTAGTGGCCTCTGCATTCCTGGCGCGCGGGAAGGCAGCGGCTAAACAAAACGAGGTCACCAACAAGGAGCAAAGAACTTTGAATACGGAAGCTGTGTCATCAAAAAGTTTATTTAAATCTCGGAAGGGATCATTCCATGAGGGTGCCTGTGTGGTCCCGGTGCAGCTTGTGCCAGCGCAGGGGTGTGATCCCCGTGATTGTGTGATTTTGTCCTCGCCTCGAACAGTGGTTTCGGGTGAGAGTGAAAATGAGGTCGCAGCTGGTGGAAATGCTGGACCCGCCGTGAAATCCACCCCAGACGTTACATGCGGGTGCGGCTCGGTGAAATGTTTCCAACCAAACAGGCCATTTATTTGCCCAGCGTGCCATGATTCGTGCTATGTCGGGCAGACCAACGTGCATTTGCGCGCTCTACCTGTACAATGCCCAGCGCGCATGGGTACATGCTTGCATGGTTCTAGGGTTGATGTTGTGGAATGCCTTGGCAGAGAGACCAGGCAGCGTGGACAAGTTGGCACTGGGATTCCCAAAGAGATTGTGACCTCGTTAACGGTTTCTATAAAGAAAAAGATAAGGATTATAGATCTTAATAATGTCAAGAGCGGTGAAAACAGTAAAAGAACAATATTGATTAATAATTTGGATAATGAAATGAATAGACCTACGGTAGATCCTTCCTCTTTACCTGTTATATATCATGTGGAAGATAATCTTTTTATGCGACACGACAATCTTGCACATTTTATACCTTTGAGTTGCAATGATACTTCCCAGACTACTGTGGGCTTGCTAAGTCGGATTGGATTTACCACTGAGCTAATGCAACAGTATCAGATCGAAGTTGGTGACGCCATGATTTTTCGTCATGAAAAACATTCTGTTTTCCTCTTATTTTATAAAAATGAGCCTCGAGACGAATTGGATTTTAGACACGTTGAATCATCATTAAAGTCATTAAAGTCTCTCCTCGATACTGTGGGTTCCAAAACATTCAGTCTTTTAATAGACTCGGATAGATTCAATGCTCCAGATCGGAATAATATAATAGACATACTTAAGCAAATTTTTGGAAATTCGGAATACGTAATTACCTTGTGTGCTGGCGGGGTTGAAGTTCCGTTAGAGTCAACACGATCTCAGATTATCCAAGAACATCATGATTCGGTGGTAGGAGGTCATAGGGGTACTTATAAATTATACCAACTCATTCGTGAACGGTTTTATTGGCCGGGCATGGCAAAGGAGATTGCGAAGTTCGTTCGTTCTTGTCCAGTCTGTCAAAAGAATAAAAATTATTCCGCTAAGACTAAACAACCGATGTTAATCACAGATACTCCTCGACAAGCCTTTGAGAAATTACAAATGGATATAGTTGGACCGTTACCCGTAACCAATAAAGGGAATCAGTATTTACTTACTCTGCAAGATAATTTGACCAAGTATTCTGATGCAATTCCATTAAAAACCATAGACACGGTAACCGTTGCACATGCTCTTGCCGAACAGTTTATTAGCCGTTTTGGGTGTCCACGGGTTATCCATACGGATCAAGGAAGGAACTTCATTAGTCAGTTAATGAAGAATTTCTGTAAGATTTTCAAAATTCAGCAAATTACATCCACGGCTTTCCATCCTCAGTCGTTGGGTTCTCTTGAGAGGGCACACCGTAGCTTCATAAATTATCTTAAGCACTATTGCACAAAAACAGATTGGGACGATTGGATACGTTTTTGCATTTTCTCTTATAATACCTCTGTACATGAGGGCACTGGGTTCACCCCTCATGAATTGGTTTTTGGTGTAAAGGCCAACATACCCTCTGAATTTTCCAAAGGGCAAGCGCCTCGAACTTTTGCACAGCATTTTGATGAGCTTTTTACTAAAATTACCACCACACAGACTATGGCTGCACGAAATCTGGAAAAAGCAAAACAGAAAAGCAAGGATTACTATGATCAGAGATTAAATCCATGTAAATTTAATGTAGGCGACATGGTGTATTTACTTAAAGAGCCTAGAAGTTCTAAATTTGATTGCGACTGGCTGGGTCCGTATAAAATAAGTCGAATGTTTGGAGACTTAACAGCGGAATTAGAATTAAAGGAAAATAAATATAAGATAGTACATACCAACAAATTAAAATTGGCGTGTATTCGGCTGGACGATTCTACCGAAGACTGAATTAAATATATGCGTATCGTTGAATGCCTTGTAAGCTTGTGCTTATGTTCTATTAATATTACGGTTTATGAATAATCCAGAGACTATTGACAATATATGGAGGAATTATTATTTGTTGTACGTTTACGTATACAGATTATGATGTGTGCGAAGCTACGAGTTATTGAATGGACTATTGAAGATTGTACGATGAGTGACATTGAATGAACTACTAAATACAGACTTACTTTCACGTTATTAGGAAGTTATGTTATGAATGAAAAAGCTGTTTTTTTTTGTAAACACCTTTTTGTATAAGGGGGAAGGTGTAACGTGAAACGTTATCACGTGAATATGTTTAGAGTGGTGTGGCGACACTGCCATGAGAATATTTATCGATAGTCTATTGTATCGATATGTCTTGAATGTTCTTCGAGGACCTTTGTATCGCTGGTCATAAATTAAGAGCGAAATTCGAACATCGTCTAAGCATACCCTTATATAAATAGACAAAGAGTAAATTGTAAACCCCTCGACGTGGGTGATAGAGCTGAGAGAAGGCCGGAAGTCCAGAGAATGGAATAGTTTCACTTGGAAAATTCCTAAAAAACTAATTTATGATAGACCATAGCTAATTCGTTGTTTTCGACCAAGTCACGAACGGTCCTTAAGGGTTACGAAGTCTTTTTCGATATCCTGTCTTTTCATGCACTCTAAGAGGGTCGTAAATTTCCTCAAGAGTTGCTTTGGCAAGTACAAGGTCTTGTCGTTTCCTAATTTCTCTGGGTCCCACGCTTTCTCTTAGCACATGTGCGCTGCAACGTTCTAGCGTCTTGGCGGAGCGCCTCCACTTCCACGCGCTTGAGGGTGGACCACAGCCAGGAGAAGGGGCCCACACGAGACAGGGTGGACTCCTCCACCATTGGACGAGGGATGATCCTGAGGGAGGATCTAGGATCCACCAAGGAAGGGGCATCGACCGACAACGCGCGAAGATCTCCTCCGCCAAGCGCAGAATTGTCAGAATGATTTTTGTTACTCGTTACGAACAAGTCGTTCTCACTCAGAAGGGTCTAAGCCTTAACAACGCAACTTTAAAGTTCTGATTTTAATTTGAAATACCAAGTATTAAAGTACTAAAAACAAAAATTACAGTTTCTTATTTTTGTAAATCCGCGCCTTGAGAGCGGAGCGCCTCTGCGCTCCACGGACTGTCACACCTGCACCTAAATCCCCGAAAATCCCTATTTTCCGCGACGGACACGCAACATATTTGGTGACAGCGGTGGGATAATTTAAAAGGGAATAGTTCAAAGTGGGGACAAACATTTAAAAGGTGACAGTTTAAAAGGTGATAATTCTGTGAAAAACAGTTTAAAACAGTGAAATAACTGAATAGTTAAATAAAGTGATTGTGACAAACTTATGTACACTTAAATTACTTTATCAACTCGCGGGTGTGTATTAATTGGGACCATTGAGCTGGAGTACCTGCTGTCGAATTTGGGGACCATCGAGCAGGAGACGGGACAGAGCCATACACCTGTGAAAGAAGCAACAAGTTAAACGAGAAACGTTAAGTGACTTCTTGCGGATTATAAATTTGTCGTGCAACAAAACTGTAAGTCTAGAATATTAGCAAATAGACTATAGAATATTAGTTGTAACCGTTAGTCCTAATTCGATAAGATGCCGCCGTTTTCAACGAAACTAGTAAGGGCCAGAAGGAGGAAGGGTCGCAAAAATAGTCTGCGTGGTGATAGCGTCATATTTGTGGAGGAAAGTTCAATAGAATCTCCTAGTAGAGGATCTTCTTCCTCAATTGGAAGGTTTGAACCCCGATTACAAGAGTCATCTCTTGTACCTGCCCAGTCCACGATGCAGAGTTGGGGTGAGCCGGGCGGTGTATCTGTTCCTTCTAGTAGCACGGCAAATAACACGCTAATGATTCCACCTAGGCCATTACCTTCTAATGTTTTGAATTCCTCTTCAGATGCGAATGAACATCAGACAAATACCTTAAATTTAGAGTCATTACAACCTTCCAAGGACAGTACGACTAGGGACGCGGTCACGTCATCGCCTAAACTTTCAAAAACCTTTACGGGCACCCAATACGATCTAGTAAAAAGTTTTATTCCTCATTTTGATGGAAAGCCGTCCCAGGTAAACCATTTTATTGCCCAATGTAGGCTTGCCGATACCTTAGCAAAAACCGAGGACAAAACACTTTTGCTCGCTATAATTCGGAATCGAATGCAACACCGGGTTTACAGGGGTATAGTGGGTGATGACGAACCGGAAACTGTGGAGGAATTGATAGCCCTGATTAAATCTACGTTCGCCCAAAGTTTTAATCTAAATGATACTCAAAATGAGTTGAAGACCGTACGCCGTCGTGAAAGCGAATCGATCGAGGAATACGGGTTCCGAGTAAACGATATTTTAGATCGTGGGGTACAGGGGGCGAAAGAAGATTTGAGTTCAGAGGAATTTGGGGGCATTAAAAAATTACTTATGACGAGCGCGGTGGCAGGATTTTTAGGGGGACTGGGAAATGATGTTGTCGCGAGTATACTTTCTAACGATGACGTTAAAGATTTAAGAGCGGCAATTAAATTAGCGTCAAAAATTGAAACTCAGGTGAATTCATCGCGGAATTCACAGAACACCAGCGTTCCTGATACAAATTCCAGAGTGCTGATCGCGGAAACGCGCGACCGCAGATGTTTTACTTGTGGGAAGGTCGGACATATTTCTGTCGATTGTCGGATACGACGGGACCGCCGTTTCGCAAATACAAATCGCGACACGCTCAGGTGCCAGAAATGCGGTAAAGCAGGTCATGCGAGTTCGGTATGTTACAGCAAAAATACTCACCGTGCCTGGGTAAAGGGTTCGCAACCAGCAGTTTCTTCGACCCCCGTAAATCGACGAAATCCTTTAAACTCAAAAGGGCCTCCGGAAACGGGCGCGACACGGAGAGAACCCCTGATATCACGCGCCGGCTCCACCGCGTCTGCCGCGAAAAGGAACTAATTAGTAAAAAGCAGTCACCGGCTGTTTTCCTAGCACACGAATATTTTCTGAATAAACCAATTAGTTTTCTTGTGGATACTGGTTCACAATTAAACCTTATTAAACGGAAGGAATTAAAACCAGATCTACCGGTCAACGTAGATAAAATTTATTACCTTACCGGGATTGGCTCGGGAACGGTCCAGTCGTGGGGTGAAGTCGTCATACCTATTCATGGTATCCCTATTTGTTTTCAAATGGTCGAGGACAATTTTCCTATTAAAGAAGCCGGACTTTTGGGGACGTCGTTTCTAGAAAAACAACGAGCTACAATTAGGTTTAAAGAAAATTTCCCATGTCTCATAGAATTCGGGGAGGAGAACCTCCAAGCTCCTACCTTTACATCTTTTGATCTACCTCCTCGAAAAAAGGTGTTGATTTCCGTCCCGACAAAGGGCAAAAATATGTCAGGCTATGTTAGAAGGATTGACGCTGGCCCTGGTATTTTCTTGGGTGAAGTATTGGCAAGTCAACAGGATGGCTTGGTTAAATTGTTTGTTATTAACACTACATCTGATTTTGTTACCCTTACGATACCACGGATTGAATTAGAGGAATTCGAATTGATACCTCCTGCATCTCGTTCGTCTCGAACAGGGAATCCGGGTTTAAATAAATCGGCAGATCAGGCTCGGAGATTTAGTGAATTACTAAAATATTTGGATTTAAGTCATCTTCAGGAGGGGGAAAAGGCCAGCATTCTGGAAATCGTTAACGAATTTTCATATCAATTTCATCTTCCTACGGACAAATTAAAAGCAGCCAATGTTCCTCATCACACTATTAGTACAACAGATGAAATACCTATTCATACTAAACAGTATAGATACCCACCAGTCCATAAAAACGAAATAGAAACACAGGTAGATTCCTTGCTTAAAGACAAAATTATTCAACCTTCGGTGTCCCCTTATAATTCACCTGTTTGGGTAGTTCCGAAAAAGCCTGGGTCTTCTGGTAAACCACGCTGGAGGATGGTTATCGATTATCGAAGATTAAATGAGAAAACTGTGGCTGATGCATATCCTCTTCCAAATATCACTGAAATTTTGGATCAATTAGGAGGAGCTAAATACTTCAGTACACTAGATTTAGCTTCTGGTTTCCATCAGATACCTGTAGACCCTGCATCGAAAATTAAAACGGCTTTCTCGACCCCTCATGGTCACTATGAATTCAATAGGATGCCCTTTGGCCTCAAGAATGCTCCTGCCACTTTTCAAAGGGTTATGGACTTGATATTATCCGGATTGCAGGGTGTTGAACTTCTTGTATATATGGATGATATTGTAATTTATGCAGCCTCCATAGAAGAACATGGGCGCAAGTTAAAGACTCTTTTAGCTCGTTTACAAAACGCTGGGTTGACACTTCAGCCTGAAAAATGCCGGTTTTTGCAAAAGGAAATAGCATACTTGGGGCATGTGATTACCGATGAGGGTGTAAAACCTGACCCTGGAAAGATTCGAGCCGTAAAACAATTTCCCGTACCCAAAACCAGGAAGAATATCAAACAATTCCTAGGTCTAGTGGGATATTATAGACGCTTCGTTCCAAATATGGCAAAAATCGCAAAACCGTTGACTAGACTTTTAAAGAAGGACGTACCTTTTCGTTGGACTGCCGATGTGCAAACCTCCTTTGAAACATTGAGAGATATTATTTGCGCTGAACCTTTATTGCAGTTTCCGAATTTTTCTCAGTCTTTTCTTGTTACCACTGACGCTTCTAATTACGCCATAGGCGCCATACTTAGTCAGGGGCCAGTGGGAAAAGATCTCCCAGTCGCATATGCTTCAAGATCTCTCAATGATGCAGAGATTAACTATTCGACAATTGAGAAAGAATTGTTAGCAGTCTTGTTTGGAGTGGAACATTTTCGACCTTACCTTTATGGCCGACAGTTTACATTGCTCACTGACCATAGACCCTTGGTATGGTTACACAATGTCAAGGATCCAACATCTAAAATCATGAGGTGGCGGATTAGGTTGAACGAATACGATTATACTGTGGTATATAAACCTGGAAAGGTCAACGCCAATGCCGACGCACTTTCGCGGAACCCCGTAGACACCTGTATAAATTCAGATCCTCAACCACTTATCGTATGGTCTAGCATGGATTCCAATCCCGGTTCGCGGTGTCTGGAAAGGGTGCTTGCCTGCGCAGGTGGGACACCAGTTGCAGGCTCCGAACCGGCCGGGATGGACGAAATGCAGTTCGTCTATAATGAATCGCTAGTGGCCTCTGCATTCCTGGCGCGCGGGAAGGCAGCGGCTAAACAAAACGAGGTCACCAACAAGGAGCAAAGAACTTTGAATACGGAAGCTGTGTCATCAAAAAGTTTATTTAAATCTCGGAAGGGATCATTCCATGAGGGTGCCTGTGTGGTCCCGGTGCAGCTTGTGCCAGCGCAGGGGTGTGATCCCCGTGATTGTGTGATTTTGTCCTCGCCTCGAACAGTGGTTTCGGGTGAGAGTGAAAATGAGGTCGCAGCTGGTGGAAATGCTGGACCCGCCGTGAAATCCACCCCAGACGTTACATGCGGGTGCGGCTCGGTGAAATGTTTCCAACCAAACAGGCCATTTATTTGCCCAGCGTGCCATGATTCGTGCTATGTCGGGCAGACCAACGTGCATTTGCGCGCTCTACCTGTACAATGCCCAGCGCGCATGGGTACATGCTTGCATGGTTCTAGGGTTGATGTTGTGGAATGCCTTGGCAGAGAGACCAGGCAGCGTGGACAAGTTGGCACTGGGATTCCCAAAGAGATTGTGACCTCGTTAACGGTTTCTATAAAGAAAAAGATAAGGATTATAGATCTTAATAATGTCAAGAGCGGTGAAAACAGTAAAAGAACAATATTGATTAATAATTTGGATAATGAAATGAATAGACCTACGGTAGATCCTTCCTCTTTACCTGTTATATATCATGTGGAAGATAATCTTTTTATGCGACACGACAATCTTGCACATTTTATACCTTTGAGTTGCAATGATACTTCCCAGACTACTGTGGGCTTGCTAAGTCGGATTGGATTTACCACTGAGCTAATGCAACAGTATCAGATCGAAGTTGGTGACGCCATGATTTTTCGTCATGAAAAACATTCTGTTTTCCTCTTATTTTATAAAAATGAGCCTCGAGACGAATTGGATTTTAGACACGTTGAATCATCATTAAAGTCATTAAAGTCTCTCCTCGATACTGTGGGTTCCAAAACATTCAGTCTTTTAATAGACTCGGATAGATTCAATGCTCCAGATCGGAATAATATAATAGACATACTTAAGCAAATTTTTGGAAATTCGGAATACGTAATTACCTTGTGTGCTGGCGGGGTTGAAGTTCCGTTAGAGTCAACACGATCTCAGATTATCCAAGAACATCATGATTCGGTGGTAGGAGGTCATAGGGGTACTTATAAATTATACCAACTCATTCGTGAACGGTTTTATTGGCCGGGCATGGCAAAGGAGATTGCGAAGTTCGTTCGTTCTTGTCCAGTCTGTCAAAAGAATAAAAATTATTCCGCTAAGACTAAACAACCGATGTTAATCACAGATACTCCTCGACAAGCCTTTGAGAAATTACAAATGGATATAGTTGGACCGTTACCCGTAACCAATAAAGGGAATCAGTATTTACTTACTCTGCAAGATAATTTGACCAAGTATTCTGATGCAATTCCATTAAAAACCATAGACACGGTAACCGTTGCACATGCTCTTGCCGAACAGTTTATTAGCCGTTTTGGGTGTCCACGGGTTATCCATACGGATCAAGGAAGGAACTTCATTAGTCAGTTAATGAAGAATTTCTGTAAGATTTTCAAAATTCAGCAAATTACATCCACGGCTTTCCATCCTCAGTCGTTGGGTTCTCTTGAGAGGGCACACCGTAGCTTCATAAATTATCTTAAGCACTATTGCACAAAAACAGATTGGGACGATTGGATACGTTTTTGCATTTTCTCTTATAATACCTCTGTACATGAGGGCACTGGGTTCACCCCTCATGAATTGGTTTTTGGTGTAAAGGCCAACATACCCTCTGAATTTTCCAAAGGGCAAGCGCCTCGAACTTTTGCACAGCATTTTGATGAGCTTTTTACTAAAATTACCACCACACAGACTATGGCTGCACGAAATCTGGAAAAAGCAAAACAGAAAAGCAAGGATTACTATGATCAGAGATTAAATCCATGTAAATTTAATGTAGGCGACATGGTGTATTTACTTAAAGAGCCTAGAAGTTCTAAATTTGATTGCGACTGGCTGGGTCCGTATAAAATAAGTCGAATGTTTGGAGACTTAACAGCGGAATTAGAATTAAAGGAAAATAAATATAAGATAGTACATACCAACAAATTAAAATTGGCGTGTATTCGGCTGGACGATTCTACCGAAGACTGAATTAAATATATGCGTATCGTTGAATGCCTTGTAAGCTTGTGCTTATGTTCTATTAATATTACGGTTTATGAATAATCCAGAGACTATTGACAATATATGGAGGAATTATTATTTGTTGTACGTTTACGTATACAGATTATGATGTGTGCGAAGCTACGAGTTATTGAATGGACTATTGAAGATTGTACGATGAGTGACATTGAATGAACTACTAAATACAGACTTACTTTCACGTTATTAGGAAGTTATGTTATGAATGAAAAAGCTGTTTTTTTTTGTAAACACCTTTTTGTATAAGGGGGAAGGTGTAACGTGAAACGTTATCACGTGAATATGTTTAGAGTGGTGTGGCGACACTGCCATGAGAATATTTATCGATAGTCTATTGTATCGATATGTCTTGAATGTTCTTCGAGGACCTTTGTATCGCTGGTCATAAATTAAGAGCGAAATTCGAACATCGTCTAAGCATACCCTTATATAAATAGACAAAGAGTAAATTGTAAACCCCTCGACGTGGGTGATAGAGCTGAGAGAAGG